TGAGGCTGAAAGCCAAAGAAATTTACGGTCATGTTACCCAGGGTCAGAAAAATGTTAAACCCTTCTCGGCTAGTGCTGGCTGGCTTGCACGTTTCAAAAGGCGATATGGTGTGAAAAATATTAAACTTGCAGGTGAGGCAAGTTCTGCAGATCAGGAGGCTGCGCAAGAATTTAAAAAACACTTGCTAAGTGTTATAGAGGAAAAGGGATATGTGGAAGAGCAGGTTTTCACCGCTGACGAGACTGGCTTATTTTACAAGGACGTTGGCAAACGAACCTATATAACGCAAATGGCTTCCCAAGCCCCTGGCTTTAAATCATTCCAAGACTATGCAACCTTGCTGTTGTGCGCCAATGCCAAGGGCGACTTTAAGTGCAAACCTCTAATGGTGTACAGAGCCCAGAATCCACAAGCAGTTACAGGGAAAAGTGTGAACCATATGCCCGTCCATTGGAGGTGGAACAAAAAAGCATGGATGACATCCGATTGGTTCCACAACTGCTTCATACCAGAAGTTGAATGCTATCTCCAGGGCAGAAACCTTGCCTTCAAGGTTTTATTAATTTTGGATGATGCCCCAGTGCATTGCTGTGAAGAACTCAGAAATGCCCACCCCAACGTAGAAGTTCTTTTCATGCCTCCAAACACTACGTCTCTCATTCAGCCCCTGGATCAGGGCATAATAAAAGCATTCAAGGCGCACTATACCAGGGAGCTTTATAGCAAGGCCTTGGAGGCCCTCAAGGCCAACAAGGAAACCACCATGATGGACTATTGGAAGTCAGTCACTATACGCAACGTTATTGATTATGTTGGCACAGCCTGGGACAGCATCAAGCAGGCTACTATCAATAACTGTTGGAAAAGTGTTTGGCCAGACTGTGTGGAAAATTTCGAAGGCTTTGAAAGTGTTACAGAAAGTATAAAGAACAGCGTCAAAAACATAATGCACATCGCACGGCAAATAAGTGGAGAAGGCTTTGATGACATGAAAGAAGAAGATGTGGAGGAAATTTTGGCAGAGAAGGCAGTAGAACCCACCAACGAAGACCTGGATGAGATGGCAAAACACGGCACTGGAGTCAGCAACGACGAGGACAGTGATGAAAGTCAGACTAAGACTTCAAGAATTGTCCCTCTTACAGTGGCCAAAATATCAGAATGGAATTCTGCCTTGGAAAAAATTTTCAATGACATGGAAGAGTGTGACCCTATGCTTGATCGAAGCCTCAAATTTAAGCACCTAACCTCCACTGCGTTTGCCCCTTATGCCGAGATGCTCAAAGATTTGAGGCAAAAAGCCAAGCAGACAAGGCTGACCCAATTTTTCGAGCCCGTTTGGGAGGGAAAATTGCCAGTTCCATCAACAAGTCAGGAGAGCCAAACTCCTAAGGTTGAACTGCCAGATGTCAACATGCCACCCTCTTCCTCTTCAGCAGAATAAGTTCCACCTACCCCTCCCTTGGTTTTCCTGGAGCAGGCCAAGGTCACGAGGTTTAACCACACTGTGCACTGCACCGTCACACATCCTGCTGCTCCATCAACAGTAAGATTTTAGTTAATGTTTTTATAAAACTTTAAATGCTTAATCTTTTTTTTTTTTTTAAAGATTGGCACCTGAGCTAACAACTGTTGCCAATCTTCTTTTGTTTCTTCTGCTTTTTCTCCCCACATCCCCCAAGTACAAGCAGTATATTTTAGTTGTGGGTCCTTCCCCTTGTGGCATGTGGGACGCCGCCCCAACGTGGCCTAATGAACGGTGCCATGTCCGCGCCCAGGATCCAAACCAGCGAAACCCCGGGCCGCCGAAGTGGAGTGTGCGAACCTAACCACTCAGACATGGGGCTGGCCCCTAAATGCTTAATCTTGAATTTTTTCAGGATTTTATTTGCATTAGTGTACAATATACAGTATGTGTTCACAGTACTGTTTATTGTACATGCATGTTGTATGGTGTGTTATACCATGTGTTTACTGTATGTACTATATATGCGTACTCTGTGCGTGTGTATGACTGAGGGAAAGTATTACAATTTCAGTATTGTAGAGTACATTGCACAGAAATTCTGTAGTTGAAATATTGTTTCATTATAAAGAAATACTGCATATAGTGATTTGTAAGAAAAAGACACATGAGATAAGGTGCTTTGAACAGAAATGCACATAAAACAAGGTTATGTATTGTCAGTTGACAAAGATGTTGTGACCAGAGATTCATATAACTACTGCAAACAGCAAGAATTGACTGTATTCTAGAATTCAGACACCGTCCACATGAATCTTCCCAAGTTAATCCATACAGGAGTACAACCATATATAATCTTTACCATTTTATCAGATTAAAAATTTTTGTTTAATTATAACCAAATTATAGGAGGCAGCAACCAGAAACAAATGCAGATGAGAGGTTAACAACTAACGTCCTCTTTGTTTAGGTTTAGGTTTTTTCAGCTGAAAATTGCTCCTTGTTGATACTCTGAACTAGACCTGGTCTGTGTCACCCAGCCCTAGAGTTATCTAAATCAAGGAATAGATGAAACACGTCTGTGATTAAAAGGACATTACAGTGCCTCTATGCCAGCAAAGTTTTTAAAACAGCCTGATTGAAACATAATTCACACACCATAAAACTTACCCATTGAAAGTGCACGATTCAGTAGTTTTGGTATATTCACAGACTTGTGCAACCATCACCACAATCAATTTTGGAACATTTCATCACTCCAGAAAAATCTCTTACCCATTATGAGTCACTCTTCATTTCTCCCCAGGCCCCAGCCTCTGCGAGGCTAATCTTTCTGCCTCTATAGATTTGCCTATTCTGGACATTTCATATAAATGGAATTATACAATTTGTGGTCTTTTGTGACTGTCTTCTTTCTCTTAGCACATTTTCAAAGTCCATTTCTTTTAGGTATATACCTGTGGAATTGCTTGATCATATAATGACTCTGTGCTTTACCTTTTGAGGAACTGCCAAACTGTTTTCCAAAGCAGCTGCACCATTTTATATTCTCACCAGCAGTATATGAAGCTTCCAGTTTCTCCACACCCTTGCCAACACTATGTCTTTTTGATTATAGTCATCCTAGTGGGTGTGAAGTGGCATTTCATTGTAGTTTTGATCTGCATTTCCCTGATGACTAATGATGTTAAGCATCTTTTCATTTCTTTATTGGCCCTGTTATATGTTATTTGGAGAAATGTCTTTTCAAATCCTTTGCCCATTTTTAAATTGGGTTGTCTTTTTATTGTTGAGTTGTAAGAGTCCTTTATATATTGTAAATACCAGTCTCATAAAATATATGACTTGAAAATATTTCCTCCAATTCTGTGGGGTATCTTTCACTTTGTTGGTGGTGTCCTTTGAAACATATTTTTAATTTCGATGAAGTCCAATTTATCTATTTTTGTCTCGTCTCGTGCTTTTGGGATCGTATCTAAGAAAACTTTGACTAACCCAAGATCACAAAACTTACTCCTGTTTTCTTCTAAAAGTTTTATGGTAGTTTTAGTTCTTACATTTAGGTCTATGATCCATTTCAGCAGATCTTTCTTATGGGAGAATAATAGAAAAATAGATGTGAAATTAGAACCCAGTATTTAGGAGTTTACCATTCTCAGCCTCATTTTCCTTGAAGAGCATAAATGCACCCTGCAGTGACAAACTGAGATGTAACCTTTTCCCCATCACTGGGGTCTGCATCTGGGGAAAAGGATATGTTGGCATTCTCCAGCAGACTCTCTCCTCCAGCATCATCCCATTTCTCCCAGTGTCCTCTTCACAGCTCATTAGCACTCCATGCATTTGTTCAAATTCACAAAATTTCCAACCACTTTAAGGTTAACCAGGGGAGGAACTATTTTGTATTGTCAAGTAGTTTAGTAAAGAGGTCAAAAATCGGTTAGCAGGCCAAATCCACCTTTAAGACATGCAACATTTGACCTGAAAAGCATTTTGCATGAATTTAAATTAATTGCCAGGACTTAAAAACTTGAGATTTCAAATAATCTTGATTTCCAACTTCCCTTGAAAAACTGGAGAATCTGGCAACTCTGGGCTCATAATCCCAAAAAGTAGAAATAGGCCAGAACTGGGCAATGGCTTTAGACAGGGCTCTCCAGTTGGCCACAGTACAAATCTCCCCAAATTCCTGGTTTACTATTACTGGCAATAATTTATGGGCTCCTCTCTGCCAAACTCAGCACCTTTCACCACTCATTCACCATCGTCTCTTTCCACTGTCTAATCTTGGGTTATCACCTTTTAGAAAATTGAAAGAGAAGTCCCTCCTTTGTTGGGTCCAGGATACATATGATCTTGGGGACTTGTGGCTGAACTCTGCATCTATCTTTCTGGGGTGCTAAAAACATTCTGTATCTTGATCTGAGTAGTGGTCACGTTAAGTGTATAAATATGTAAAAATTCATCAAGCTATCTAAGATTTGTGTACTTTACTGTATATTATACCTCAAAAAAAAAAAAAAAATAGAGGGAGAATGGATGGGTAGTCTCCTGCCAGACACTATTTCCATCTGCAATGCCTGACACAGCAGCAGTCATCTTGTGATCATGGACAATGCAATTTGGACAATGCAATTTGCTGAAAATGGCAGAGCAGAAAAAGATTTATGATGTCAGAGAGGGTCCTAAACTAACTTTGGAGCCTCTCTTCATGTGGACTTACAATTGAAATAAATTTTTTCACACACTGTATCAGTTTTCAGCCATCCCAGTGTGTAATCATACAAAAGCTTCTTGGTGGTAATATACAGCCCACAGAGTGGAGTTAGTAAGACTCAAGTTCACGTGTAAGTACAGTTTAATCACATCTTTGAACAAGAATTTACCATAAATTAGTACGAAGTGGAACATAAAAGAAATATAAACATATATGTTAAGTAGTAAGTCATTTAAAAAACCCAAAAACTTAAGTCAGACAACTTTATAACAAAAGATTAAATTCACTGGCCACTGAAAAAGAAATAACAGTTCCGGTTCACAGAATTGGAAGTAATTCTTTATTGATAAACATTTATACCAGAATTAGAAATGTCAGTAGAAAAATAAAATTTAAATAATTTTCTATTGTACAAAGATTTGATCACTTTGTAGCAGTTAGTGAAATAATCTAATACAAAAAGTTAAGCTGATTTTAGTCACAACCAGCCTCACAGAGTGCACAGAAAAGAAATGCACATACACAAAACTTTCTGCGTTTGGAGAGCTAATGGCACCAGGGCTTCACATTCCAGGAAATGGGTTCTTAGGGAAGACTGGTATGCACTGCAGATGTTGTAAGAACTTAATTCAAACCAGAGCAGTCAGAAAGGATGGTGGAATCAAAAGCCAACACACAATTTAAAAAATTAAAAAACACAAGGGTTTAAAGGTAGTTATTTGCATGAACTTTTTCTCACTACTTTAGACATTTCCTAAGAAGTAATGTTTTGATGCAAAAATAAGAGTTAATAGCACAAAGAGACATCTTTCTCTTGGGATCTTCGTTACGCATCTGTAGATGGACTTAAGTTTTCATGAAATGGCTTCCAAATCCCTCTATCAAAGAATCCAGAAATCAGCTTTTATGGTTGGGGGTTGCCTCCCTCCTCTGCATAAAAAAAGGGTGGGTGCAGAGCTGGGGAGGGATGGTTGCATATGTCTCTAAGAAAGCCAGTTGTTGGCAAAAATTCTCAAAAAACTATATATGGTAAAATAAAATTTTCAACATAAATGCCAATATTTTTTCATCTGAACAACCACCCCCAAATAATTGTGTATTTGAGACGAGAAATTTAAAAACAACAAAAACGAGAGATAACAGACATACTTTATCAAATAGTTTCTCCCTGAAAACATTCAAGCTACAAAGCTCAATCTGTATAAAGTCTATATAACATTTATTCACAAGAGAATGTTCACATAGTGGGATGGATGAAGCATTCAGTAATTTGAAGGTACACAACATTTTATATTTGAAGTTTTTAAAAAGAGTGGATAATCAAAATATAGCAAGCAAGAAACAGATGGAAACAAAGACATCTTTCAAAATGCATTCATTTTTGTGTCTTGGCTCTAAAGGAAAAATAACCAAACATTCAAATCATGGATCAATATGTTCAAAAATTAGTATTCAGGGGGAGGGGCTCACCCACCTCTGGCCCTGTTCATGTTCAATTTGTGAAATTCTATCCAAAAGAATGTTTTAGATGAGAACGCTACGAAGCATCCTTCAATAGAGATTTTTAAAATCATTTCTTATAATAAAGGATACAATATCCCAAAATTTCTTAAACTGAAGGGCTACTTTTCAAAATCACAACTCCTTGAACTGAAAAATGGAGTCTTTAACTAAAGACTTAAAATTTGCTTCAAAGGAAGATTTGAGCACTTGGAGGGTAATCTTGTTGGGGAATTTCTAAGGACATTTGCCTGCGTTCCAGCTCTACTTGTAATTTTCCACTTGGTCTTGAGTATGTGTCACTATAATTTTGATAAGTGGGCTAATGGCCTATTCAAAGAAAATATCCAGTTAATTTTTATGATCCCTTTGTAATTTTTCTCTTGGACTATCTCTGGTTAAATTGGTCCTCTTGGCTATTTTTTAATCAGAAGCTGAGTGCATATTGCTCTAATTGGAAGAGATACATTCATGTGCACATGACCTCATGGGCTCTTAGCCTGACTCTCACAATGAAAACTTTCCTTTAAAATGTCAGACTTAATTACCAGAAACTATTTTGAAAACAGAAAACAACACTGACTGTACTCCATACAAAACAGTTTAGGTGGTAAGGATCAAGTTAGATAATTTTTGCAATCCTATCTCTTTTGAAGATCACAGTTTTCAGGCCTTTCAATGAAAAAGAAAGTTAGGTAGTAGAAGAAAAATTAAAATAGCTAAAATTGGGTTTAAAAGACTCTCAATATTTAATTCTCTTTAAGGATACAAATTCCCTTGAAGGAGAATGTATAGTGCACAGTGGAGAGAGCTGTGAAAATTAAACTTTAGGCACTTTCTGGGAGTGACACCCAATACTGTCAAAGTGGGCTGAAGACTCGCCACTCGGTAACCACGTTAAGACTGAGAAATCAGTGACCAGAAACTCTACTTTAAGCTGCACTTCCACAGTTTTTTCAAACGCCATTAATAAACCAAAGTCACTACAAAAAACTAACAGAATATTTAAGTATCTTTTTTGTGTGCCTCAATGTTAAAAAGAATATCCTAACCAATCTGGCTTAAAATTTTTAACTGGAGCTATTTCATAAGGTATGTTCCCAATTAAACTAAATAAAATTAATAGAATGAAAGTGATAGGAAAGAGTGGTATAGGAATTCTAAAAAAAAAAGTCTCAATTAGCTAGCTTATTTTGACAAAACTTACAAAACAACAAATTCACGTCTTAAAATATATTAAATAACTAGAGGTCAAGAGAGTTATCCATAAAATGTCACATCTTTCAGTAGGTATCTTTTTCTTTAAATAGTGGAATGAAAGCCACTACTTGTGTTCTAGATTTTTTTTCCTGTTTTTGTTCTCAAAGCTGTACTCAACCGAAACCTACTTGGCACTGACTGTCATGAAGGTGTATCAGAAGAAGAGTCTGCCAAATTTTAATCAAGATTAGACCAAATAAGATTTTAGTATGTCTACTCTGCTCAGAAATAAACCAATAATTTCCACAGTTTCCATGAAATATGCAACATTGCATTTTCTCACAGATATTGTACGTTTCAGTGCGAAGGATGCCAACCCAGAATCACTGTGGACCTGGCTTGGGTAAAGGTGCACCTGGAAAACGGCTTAACTATCCACCAAAAAAAAAAAAGAAAAAGCCCAAGAAACTTGATTTGCTTTGGTTGAAAACAATAGGAGTTCAGAAAGATCTTCACTTCGATTCTTGGAGCTTCAAGCAAAGGAAGGGTTGAGGTGTTGTTCTTCACATACTTTTTCATCCGAGTTGCTTCCATTTGGAGAACTAAGAAAACACTACATTCCATAACGTATTCTTTTGGAGGAGTCTATAAAAGCGTAGGTTCGACATCGTAGCTGGAGGGTGTATGCTATAGAGTAGCCAAAATCCGCAAAAAGGAGACCACCACTACACAAAACGTCTGGCCGGTGCCCAAGGTGAGGGCTTCAAATGGTATCATTTCCTTTCCTGCGGCTCGGTACACTCCAGCAATTGCTGCACCTGTCCAAAAATTCAGGAGTGTTAAAAAAAACAAAAAAAAACAAGGTTAACATAAGCAGGAAAATATAACACTTAAAACTTACTACAAGTAAACTAGTCCAGATTTTTTACACTAAGATTTAAATATTATACAAATGTTTTGTTTTCTCTATTCTTTTTGCTGACTGCTCTAGGTTTTAAGTATTCTCTATATGGTTTGCATATCACTGATATGTGCTTTTAGATGTCGAAAAGTGACTCCTTAAAACTGAGATTTATTGAATAAAATCATCTGGAAGTCATAACCCAAATCACAAAGACTGCAATTTCCACGTGACCTGATTACAAACTCAACAACATCTCTTTATTGCCCATGCATTTAGCAGGTACTGAATAAATTCTTGGCAATAAATGACAAAGAATCTTCTGTGTGAGACTGAGCAAGAAATATTTCAGGAGAAGCCGCAGGGAATCCCCATTCCACCTCTACTATACTCAGTTCCCTTCAAGAAATGGATGGAGCAGGAGGAGAGGGGCGGGAAAAGGAAGAGAGGGGGACCCTAAGCCTATAAAGCTGCTATTAGTTCAAAGGGCGTGAGGGGAGAGATCCTCAGGGATTCCTCCCTGTTCCCCAGGCCATTAACTGTTTTTATTACGTTAGTCACTACAGCTTCCTAGAAACTGCGTACACAAAACGAACACTAACAACCTCTCTATCTACCCAGGTACACATTTGCATTGCTGCAGGGACTCAGCATTCTCTCAAAAAAGTCAAGATTGCACTAATTTGAAAAGAACAGACCAAAAGTTCCCAGATGATCCTCCCCCAGAAATGTTCCACACAAAATTCTCCCTGGTCACAGTGTATTCATTCATTCAAATATTTATTTACATCTATGTCTTTTAAGATATGATCCCTATTCTCATAGTACTCAGAATTTAGCTGGGGACACAAGACAGAAAGCACAGGCATGAAATAGATTTTGAATTCAAGACAATATATAGTACCTCAATCAAATGTCTACACATTTTATAAATGTGATGTGAGGGTATATTAACATATTCTAAGAAGAAGAAAGGACAATATTAACCAATACCTGAGTTGGTTGCCTGGAACATTTGTGACTTTGAAATGCCCACCTCCCCTGGCAGTGCATATACACTGTGCAACTAAAATCTGAAAGGCACCTGTTCCACTGGGCCCCTTCGTAATTTGGCCCCCAAAAAAGTGGGTTGGGTAGAAAGAAGCTTAAGGAACTTGAACTGGGCCCTAATGTGGGATTTGGATGATGATGAAGGGAAGAAAAGAAAAAGCAAACCAGAAGGAGCAGCAAAACGGGAAGGCAATAGATTCTATGCACTAGAGTCTTAAAGACAGAATGAACACAGCATTTACTGCACAGTCACTACGTTAGATATTCTGTTAAATATTTTGTACATACATTATTTCATTTAATCATCACACAGCATATGAGGTGGGTGGTATTATCCTTATTTTACTGATGAGAAGTCTAAAATAGGGCCTAGGGGCCAGTAATCCAGCAAGGAAACTGGAGCAGAGGGTCCCTAAAGACAGCAGTAGGTGATCTATTAAAAATGCTGTACAGGCCAGTTATGGAAACTCCTTATGCAGACAGGAGAAAATTGGCTTCCTCCCTCTGGTACCACAAAGGTTTTCACCATCTACAGAACACAGAGAAACGAGGCCACTCTGTCCCAAAAAAACCCAAGTCAAGAAACAGAAGGAGCTTTCTGCTTGAAGCTCAAGCAGCTTAAATTCACAGTGAAAAAAACAGTTACAAAGTAGGAGGAATATTGTGTCTATTTTTTTAAGAATATGTTTATGTTTACACGTATATCTAAAAAAAAGCCTGAAAGCACATACTAAAATGCAAACCGTGCTTAAACTTAGGAATGCAGCAATGGAAGATTTTAATTTTTGCTTTCTTATAATTTTTAATTTATATAAAATATACATTTTATATTTAATTATGAGCTTAAAAATGATTTAAACTTATTTTCATCCCTATGACATCAGCAAAGGCCAAAAAAAAAAAACTAGGTAAAAATAATTTATAATATGTTACTCCAATTTTTATTCAGAAAGTCTTGAGGGGAAAAAAATAACTAGGTACTTTTCTAAACAAGAATTCTTGTCATTAGAATTATTCTTCAGTCCTTAATCACACCTGAATGAGTGGAAGTAATTCATCAACAATCTTGTGGTGCCATTACTCAAGTGACAGCTGATGAGAAAGGAGTAGTAGCTTCCAGAAGACAAATATCTTTCTTTTGCTAGTGACCTATCTCACAAAGCTTAACTTAAGGTTTTCTGAAGCCAGCGAAAGTCTGACTCAGGAAGTCAAAGATGTTAGCCAAATAATGGGGGGTTGGGAATGAGGAAAAAAACAATATATAAAAAAAGAGGACCTGTGGTTAAAGGCCACTCTTTTTTCTTTATTCCACTCAGACATGTTTATAAAATGGTCCTGAAATTAACTGACTAGTCATATCAAACGTTTTGACTGGTATTTTAATGTCTAACATACTTGTCAAGATTCCAGCAGTAATTGGTCCCACGATGCCCATCAACAGGATGCTTACAGACATGAACCTACCATATTTGTGATGTCTGAGGGTGAAGAGGGCCAGTAATCCAGCAGGGACATGAAAGAAGAGAGAGGACACCAGTGCCCACAGGAACACACCATACCACATCTCTACAAGGGAAAGCAAAGAGAGGTCACAAATCACTGCCTTTTCCAGGGCAATCGTCACAAAGGGGTAGTCATTATACTCAGTGATTTCATTTTCAAAACCACTCAGTTGCAATGTCAGTTCATCAATCAAATATCCAAATATTGATGGTTTTAGAGGGATCAGCAAACTATGGCGACCAACTGTTTTTGTGCATAAAGTCTTACTGGAACACAGCCACCCCCATTCATTTGAGTCTCGTCTCTGGCTGCTTTCAAGCTACAAGAGTGGAGCTGAAACAGTACAGAGACCACGTGGCCCGCAAAGCCTAAAATATGTACCATCCTGGCCTTTACAGAAAGTCTGCCAACCTCTGACAAGCCAGCTGTACTCTAACACTGAAAAAAGGTTCACCCAGATTTGAATATTGACCTAAATAATTTCCCTCCTATAAGATGAACAAGCATAAGTACCATTGATAGGGTACTGTGCGATCAATACCTGTTGATCTTTCCAGACTTTCTGATTATTCAGTCTTCTAAAATGGAAAAGCTGTACAATTATATTCATTCAACAATCATTTTCAAGTCAATACAGTAAATATCAACCCGTTGCCTATTAGGATATCAGAGCTCTTTAAGATATGAAATAAATGCCAGAAAATATATATGTTTGGCTTAAAGACAAATGGCAAGTAAGGGGGCATGTTAGAAGAGGAGCTAGTTCCTACAGAGAACCTCTAATCACTCTCAGGATGACATTAATTCAGGCAATGTTAAAATACTTGATCACCAACTATGTATACAAACCTGTGCATGAGACAGCTTGGAAAATTCAAAAAAAGAGGAGATACCATCCTGCCCTCCCGACTGTATAATTTGGCAAATGGCAGTCATAGCATTTCCCCCAGGGAGCCCAGGCAAGGCTTTAGAATTCTCATGACAGCTCTTTAACTACCCATATGGAAGTAGTGAAGGTGTCGCATTAGAGAAAATCTGTTGTCCACCCCTGCACCAGAGGCAGGTAAGTAACAGGCAATTTTAGAGATCAGTCAAAAGCTTAATTCAGGGTTTCCTGACCACAGCACCACCGACATGTGGACCAGGTAAGCTTTGTTGTGGTGGGCTGTCCTGTGCAGTGTAGGATGTGGAGCAGCACCCCTGGTCTGTACTCACTAGATGCCACTAACACTCTTTCCCCCAGTTGTGACAACCAAAAATATCTCCAGAAATTGCTGAATGTCCCTTGGGGGCAAAATTGCCCTGATTAAAAACCACTGGCTTTGGGGCCGGCCCGGTGGCACAGCGGTTAAGTTTGCACGTTCTGCTTCTCAGCAGCCCAGGGTTCGCTGGTTTGGATCCCGGGTGCGGACATGGCACCGCTTGGCAAAAGCCATGCTGTGGCAGGCATCCCACATATAAAGTAGAGGAAGATGGGCATGGATGTTAGCTCAGGGCCAGTCTTCCTCAGCAAAAAGAGGAGGATAGACAGTAGTTAGCTCAGGGCTAATCTTCCTCCAAAAACCCAGAAAAACAAAAAACCACTGGCTTGACTGAAGCCGAGGGTTTCTAAGAGTAATAGCAGTTAAAGCTGCAAAGACAGATAGGGGCACATTACAGTGGGCTTTGAAGGCCAGACTAGGGACTTGAATGCGAAAGCCTGGAAGAACCATTAAAGGTTCTGAGCAGTGAAGGGTTGTCAGGACATTACTTCACAGGTCCCACCTTACCCCCAGCAGGAATACAAACTAGAAAACCTTTCTGGAGGGTAATTTGGAAGTGGGTGTCCAAAAAAGTCAAATGTATGTACCCTTTGCCACGCGATTTTACATCCAGTAATGCGTCCTAAAGGAATACACATGTAGGCAGGGACGAGGTCACAAGAGTTCCAGGCAGTAATGGCAAAAACTAGACGCCAACTGCATGTCTAGCAACGCAAGACTTGTGAAACATGTTTTGGTGCATCCACGTCATAGAACATTACACAATCATGAGACAGATCTTTAAATACTGATGGGTAAGATGCCCAAGCCACAGTGGTAAGTAAAAAAAGCAAGTTGCAGAATACTATGCGGAATAAGATCCCATTTTTGGGAAAACAAAAAACAAACAAAAGAAACAAATGTGTGTGTAAATACTTCTTTGTACTGAAAAGTCTGGACGTATGTTTGTTTAATAAATATTTATGACAGGCACAGGCGCTGTTCTAAGTGCTTCACAAATATCAACTCGTGCAATCCTCTAAATAATTCTATGAGATACATATCATTAATATCCCTAGCTCTCAGATGAGGGAACTGAGGCACGGGGAGGTGAGGAGACTTGCCGGAGCCCACGTGGCAGCTCGAGGCAGAGCCCAGGTTCACCGCTGACTCCCGAGGCCACACCCTCATCCTCTGTGCCACCTCTTGGTGTATGTTAAACTCCAGAAAATTGTTATTTCTGGGGAGCAGGATGGGTTGGGGAGAGGGTTGATGACAATTCACTTTTTACTTTGATTAAAAAACCCCAAAGCTTTTGTTTTAAAAAGAACTGTTCCAGAAAGTTGGTGGGATTGGGATGAACAATTAGAGAGCAATGAGGAGCGTCAGTTAGCTCGGGGAGAGTGGAGCTGGGGAAGGACCAGGCGCTTTTCTTGAAGCTGTATTTGAGTTGTAAGCATAGTGTTGTGTGTGGTTTTTCCTAGATCAATTTCTTATTCTTATGGAGGGGGTGGTGCTTAGGGGCTAATGGAGATAAGGGCTGGGGGCCAAATCCCTCCCAACAACCCCTGCCATTGTCACTAAGCACTGCACTCATTCTTTGCTCATTTTAAGCCAAATAAAGCTTGAATTAAGACCATATTCTACATACACCTAAATTAGGATGCGTAGGTCTTGTTTTGGGTGAAAGGCTCTGAATAAAAGCATCAGAGGTGCCCCATCTAGGGCTCAATGCTTATTAAAAATAACAAACGACTGGGCGTGTTTTGGCATTTTTGTTCTGGTGAAAAACTATTAGATAGCTACAAAAGGTTTCAAACCATTTGTGAGATGTTTTTTCTTTCTGCCGAACAAGATACACCTTGAGAATAATTTTATAATACTGTTGAAACTGGTCTATTTTGTTTGACAGTGTTTGGAAAATTGTTAACACAAGTTTAAATCACACAATATGGAGTATAAAGTGATTAAATAGTAACGTCCTAAGCTTAAAAATTAAATATATAACATAAAAAAATATATATGCATACTAACTACTGCCCTTGTTCCACCAAAGAAAAACCATCTTTCCAGTCAATAGTGTTGATCAGAAATCGCAGGCAGGGCTCTCCGTCCTCCAGGTTTGAGTCCCCATCCTCTTCAGGAACAAACCTCCATTACCGCTGCCTCCTTTCCAGCCTCAGGCCAGCTGCTATTCTTGCTTCTACTGCCCAGGAGACTGGCTCTCTCTTCCTGGCAGCAGCTCCACGGGTCGCAGCATCTGGAGTCCAGGTACTGCTGCTCCCCAATAAGTGTGCATCTGCCTGGTCTCTGGCACCTACCGATCGCTCCTGCCTGAGCAGCTGCTATTATTGTACCCTGGCTCAGTGACAGCAGCCTGGCCTCTCCAGCCTAAGGCCCCCTGGAACACTACCCACCACTAGCTTATCCTCAAGCCAAAGCACAGCACCATGCACTTCCCTTCCAAAGCAGGAACCCTATCTTCAATCCCATTGTCCTCACCAGCTCCTCCCCAAATCACTCAGAGACTCTGACCTCCACAACACCATCTGGTGTGCCGAAAGCTCTCTGATGGCACCAGGAATGCCAGTGCCCTGGGGTAGACAAATGGGATACAAACCTGCCTCCAAGAACTCCGAGCAATTGCCACCCTGGCTGCTGTCTGCCACTACTGAGCTCGGCCCACCCCTGGGCCCTGCCATTGCAGGGCTTCTGCTGGAGCTCCCCAAGTTTTAGAGACAAGCACTGCTTTCCGCAGCAACTCAAGGCACGGCTGGAGCTTGGCTTCTTACCGGCTGCCACAGAACCATCAGGGCAGTGAACTGGGAGGTGAGGCCTGGGTCTGCCAGAGACACACTACGCTGGGAACTTCAGTAAAAGTGGGTCCAGACACTCAGGTGTGCTATTCAACTGCTATGGACTGAATTATGTTCCGCCAAACAAACATGTTGAAGCCCTAATCTGATAGGACTGTGGCCCTATAAGAAGAGGAGGAAAGAGATTTCTTTGTGTCTCATATTCCCCCTCACCCCACATCATGTGAGGAAATATCAAGAAGGAGCCCAAGAGGGCCCTCACCACAACAGGACTATGCGGCCACCCTGATCTTGGACTTCCGGCCTCCAGCACTGTGAGAAAATAAGTTTCTGTTGTTTAAGCTACTCAGTCTATGGTATACTGTTACAGCAGCCCTAGCAACTAAGACACCAACACTCACCTGTTCCCACTTCCCCAGGAGCACAGCACCTGCCCAAGGAGGCCTGCTAGGCTACCAACCCACATCTCAATTTTCCTAAGAGCTGGAAGGCCTATTTATGAACAAGATCTGGCATAGTAAGTCAGCACTTCCCTGAGAAGCGGACGCACACGGCACCCTCCTACAACCGCGAGCTACATCCATTAGCTACCTCAGTGCCTACATATTTTATATAGCATCGTCTAACTCACTTCAAGTAGGAAAAAAGGCTTTATTATATTAGATAAGTAGTACAGTTTATAAAAGACTTTGCAGATGGATGGATTACAGGACTCTTAATAGCAAAGGCAAACGCCAATCAATAAAACACTTTTAAAAAACTAAGTGATTTCCCTTTAATCTACTGCACCTTAATTTGCCATCAATTTAATAGCTATTTATTGATCATCATATATTACTTTTCATTTCCCTGGCTCAACACACAGTCAAAAATCTTTGCTACGTATCTTACAGTATTTCCTGGTCTCACTGTTTCAAATCAAGTGCATTAGCTTCAGCTTTGTTTACCTTGGCAGCTAAAGTCGCATCACTTCAATGCTGAAGAATAAACCAGATAACTAATCTGT